CCTGTATTGGAACATGACAGGTGGGGGCAGAACCTTTTCTAAGTGACCTAGTATAGGGCCTCTGAAATTACTTGCTCACAACCTCTTCATACCAAATCAGTTTATACAAGTCCTAGGTACATAGATGCATAAACAGATACACAAATCAAATATTTGCTGACAATAAAATTTATTTTAAAACAATTCCTTGGTATACATATAAGTTTACAATTTATTAAAGCTGAAAACAAATTAGCATATTAATGAGAGGGGCATATTTGCTATTTTTTAAATAAATTATTAAATCTTGGGTAAAGATATGATCTTGCAGGGTGTCAAATGTCTTCAACGTTTTGCAGAGTTGGTAGATAGTTTGATTTTACGATCATTTAACAATGAGACCACAGTACAACGTGACAGTGCCTTAGAGCCATTTCAGAGCTAAAATCCATCAAATGGTACTTAAAAAAAAAAAAAAAACTCAAGCCAGCAACTCAAAAAGCAATTTTTAACAATCAAATATTTTAACACAATGCAATCCAAAGATACCCCAATGTGATGTTTATAAATTGAAGAGATGCTTCTGTTCTTCTGCTATGTTTCTATGAGAGAAGGAAGCCACATAAAGTGAGAACACTGTGGTCGCAGTGTACCATCATCTAGAATCTGAGCCTATGTGTTTCAGGCAATGTGGATGGATGAATGGATGATGGATGGATGAGGGGCATTATGGCACAGTTAGTAACACCATGAGTTTGGGATTCAGACCAGTGGAGCTCCACACATCACTCTGCCACTTACCAAATCATTTTAGTCTCCTAATCTAATAGCGCCCCAGTGTTCTCATCTCCAGAACAGGTATGAGAACATTACCCATCCTATGCACACCAGGTTGCAGATGGAGTAACAGTAATCAAAACCACTCCATTCCAAGATCGACCATGGTTCTGTCCTAAGGGCTGCGGCACAGCTCCTCTCCACCGTTCACAGACTGTGTGCCAACACAAACACTTCTGGGTGCATTCTGTCTGCTTTCATACTCATGGTTGGTGCAGAGGGACTTCAGTATTCTCAGTCCAGGTGCTCAGACATTAACTTATGAGTCTATTAGCTCCAGTGGAAAATGCTTATGTACTCCTCTAGGTGGTGCTGCAGAGGAAGCCTTTCAACTGAGTCATAGCGCCACCTGGTGTTCATTTCCATCAAAATTTAATAAGTGAGATAGTGAGAGTGAATGATGGATATGGAGGGAGCAAGACAAATGGGCGATAGACATGCCAGACAGCGAGCGAGCGAGCGAGCGAGCGAGAGAGAGAGAGAGAGAGAGAGAGAGAGAGAGAGAGAGAGAGAGAGACAGAGAGAGAGAGAGAGAGAGAGAGAGGTCGAGTCATGCTAAGAAAATCATCACAAATAGTGTTAGCATCTATAATTCCCTCACTACCTATTATCCTATTATGCATTTTATGTTGGACTAAGCGTTCATTTCCTAGGTTAACACAAGTGTCATCAGGTGCATTTAGAGTAATACACAGTAGGTGCTTGCACTTCTTTTAATTTTTTTTTTTGTTGCATTTGTATTTATTGTGTGGGTGGGCATGCACCAACCCCATGCATGTGGAGGTCAGAGAACAACATTCAAGAGTCAGTTCTCTCCTTCCATCATGTGGGTTCTGAGGATCAACTTGGATGGGCAGGCTTGATAGCAAACATTTTACCCATCTTACCGGCCCAGGTGGCTAACACACTTCTATGAGACAGATATTATCTCAATGTAGAAAACTGGATAACAAATTTGTGGCAGAGCTGGGGCATGAGATGCTTGTGAGCTCACACTGGCTCTGCTTCCGGAGAGAGTAGGGCCCTTCTTCAGGGCATTTGCCTTCTTAGTGGCCTCCCCTAAGCCGCTGGGTGCTCAGCTATGCCTGGGATCTGCCCAGAATGGCTATTTATGACTCAGGGAGGCCTCCAGTGAAGCTCCTCTCATAAATTATGGAGAGACACATGTGGGTCAGGATGGGGGAACTCAGTGCATGGGGGAACCCTAGGAATCTTGCTCTCTCTAATCAGGGAGTTTCCTTCTGTTCCCAAGAGAGCAGCTGATGCAGACAGAAGAACTATCAGCCTCACAAGAGCTTCCAGGGTCCTTTCAGGTCCTGCTGTTGGGGCTTCTAGCCCTGACTGCTGGCAGCTGTCTGCCTCACCCCCTGTTTCGTGTGCCCTGTGCCCACACAAGCAGGGCTTGAACAGTGCTGGGATTTTTGTGACCTGTACATTCTCTCTCTATTCAGACTCTGGGGACCCCCAACTATTTTCTGAGCATGTTTGGCCTCCTGGAGATATCAGAAAATGTGGGTCATGTAGAGATGCTCCTTTCTGAATGGCCCTTGGTGCCTGCTTTTGAGTTTGTGGTGTATTTTTAACACTTCAGACTCTTGGTCATTGTTAGTATTTCATTTAAATCCTGTACACCCCTAACTCCTCTGGCAGTTCTGTCCTCTTCCTGACTTGCTCATCTCAAGTATCTAAACTGGTCTCTAAATTATTAGTTTGGGAGTGTCTGGAAGGAAGTAAGGAGTTGGGAACTTTCTTCCATAAATGAAACATGCCAGTCTTCATGTGGCCTTTGGGCTCCAAATTAAATGGATTTTTGTTTGTTTGGGACAAAGGTTTTTTATGTAGCCCAGGCTGGCCTCCACTCCAAGATCCCTGTCTCTTTTGCTTGCTTGTTTACTGTCGGGCTACTGAGGGTGGAGGCCCTCAGCAGTTGGGCTGGGGTCAGATTGCACCAGGGGTTCTTTGATAGTGTGCAGAGCAGTGGAGGCTACTTCTTAAGGGTGCCTGGATGAATCTTCTCTCCCTGGGACAGGTGGCAGCATGACAGCTCAGGACTGGAGCCCACTGCTGACAGAATGTCTGGCCTCCAATTACACTGCCTCAGAGCTGTGCATGAAATTAGCAGCAGCATTCTCCCCTAAAAGGAGCCACAGAAATAGCTGCATTCAGCAGAAGCCCAAGCAGGGGCAGAAGAAAGAGGGAGAAAGGTCAGGGCTGGGCTGCCCCATCACAGCACAGCACAGGTCCTAGGCCCCTTCTAGAACACCCCTGGTCCCTGCTGTCCAGTGGCTTCCAAGTTGAGTCAGAAACACAGGAGGATCCCTTGTGGGGAGGGAGGACTGAGTATGGGAAGGTGAAAACTCAGAAACCCGAGCAGGTGGACTAGAGTGCTCACCGCACGCACGCACGCGCGCGCACACACACACACACACACACACACACACACACACACACACACACACAGCCAAAAAGAAAATAAATGAGAAATGGTTTAGAGAGTGTGTGTTGGCTTGTGGGAGTTCACACTGCCATATGTGTATGTGTATGTGGGGGGGGGGTGTCTGTCTGTCTGTCTGTCTGTGTGTCTGTATGTTGATATGGGCCACCACCAAGACTCTATTAGAGAAGAGTTCTCTCTCCTGCTTGTGATTGCCACCACTCTCTGAGTTAGAGGGTCTTTTAGAGACCCTGAAGAGACCCTCACACTTGCCCACACACAGTTGCACACAAGTCTGCACAAACTGGACTTGGACTTGGTATGTAGATAAGGAGGTCATGAACTTCTGACCCTCCCGCCTCTACCTCCAGCTGCTGGGATTGAGCTCAGAACATCACACATGCTGGGTAGCCCCAAACAAACACATTTTTAAAGCCGGGACACTTATGCTGTGACACAATCTTTCACTAGTGCTATGTGACATTCTCTTGTGGAATTGATGTCATCATTTCCTGTTTCTTGACTGCCTGTTGACCAATATTCTCCTCCCATTGGGCAAACCTGTACCTCAGGGCTCACAGACACACTCCACTACTGCACCCCTCCCAGTATCCCGGATTCCCCTAAAACCAGGACGCCTGAGTCCTGAGGCTTGAGCCTCTGCGTGACTTCTTCTGAAGCCCAAGCCGCCTGGTTTGCAGTTTTGTGTTGTCCTAACTCCAAACTGCTTCTCCAGCACAATTTGGGGCCAGCTTTTCTCTGGATTTCACAGCAGGGGGTACTTCAGGCTTTGGGCTCTGAACCAGTGTTTTAACTTGCTCTGCCCACCCATGCCCGGAAGAGGTCCTCAGCTCCCACAGTCACCCAGGCCAACAGCTAAGAAATCCAACCAAGCCTTATTTAAGGTGAGAAATGTGGGTGGCCCTGTTCCCACAGCCCCACTTCCAGGTTGGGGAGATACAATACTGGTTCTGGCACAAGAGGTGCAGGATTCAGACTCCCTTATTTAGTGATGGCCAGGGACACTACACAGGCTGTTGTTTCCCTCTGCACCAGTGAGTGAAGTTATCAGGGCATGTGAGTAAGGAGGGATGGATGTTTTGTGGGCTGCTGGGTCCAAACTCATTGTAAACTTCTTTCTGTCAAGCTCCCTGCAGAATCAAAGGTCCCTGTGTGGTAGGAGGAACTGACCAAGGGCTTCCTTCTTCTGCTCACGTAGTCTGGGTGTCTGCAGGGTGGTGCTGGCCTGGAAGAGGCAGTGTGACACACAAACACACATGGAACAAACACACAGGAATAGGGAACTCTAACTGGGAGGGGCTGGCTGTAGGACAAGCCCTGGGAGTGAAAGGAAGGTGTGGTCAGGATGGGCCTGTCGCTCAAAGGATAACTTCCTAGATGAGACCCTACAGAAGGCAGGAAGGGAGCATTGGAAATGAGGCTGGGGAGAGGGGCAGCCTGCAGGGCCTTGGGGATTCTAAGGCCAGCAGGAGGAGTGGTGCTCTTCTGAGAGCGGAATAGAGAGGTGGAGGCTGTAAGGAGAGCTTCAGTGTTCTTGGCAGCTCTGGGAGAGCTGAACATGGGCTCTCAAAATCCAGAGCACCAGGGTGAGGGCAAGGTGGGGCATAAGTCAACCTTCACACCCTGGTACAGTAGAGGACTTTAGGGATGGCTTGGGCAAGGGGCTCGGGAAATGAGAGTGACAATCAGTTCCCAAGGCCACAGGGCTCCTTAAAGGACTAGACCAAGCTGAGAGTATTTCTTTGGTGGGTGGGGCTTAGCACAGAGACAGGCAGTGAGGAAGTCCCTAAAGCTAGTGGCCTCATGCAAGCCCAGGACCCAAGGGTAGTACTTCCTCAACTGCTATGCATCCAGGAAGTGGGTGAGGAGGATTGTGGGACCAGGCAGCCTGGAGTCTGAAAGAGGTACCTCAGGGAGGGTCCAGAGAGGCTGGGGAGGGAGGGGCCTCCTCAAAGCTTACTCCTGGAGACCTCCAAACCTCAGTGGCTCCCAGATCCAGACAGGAGGAAGTGAGAGGGCAAGGCCCTCGTCCACCTGCTCTACCGCTACCCACAGCCATGGCCTTGGCCCAGCAGCTGCGTTCGGAGAGGTGAGAGTGTATCCACATTCCCTCCCAGGCTTTCTCACTGCTCGCAGCAGGCCTGTGAGGGGCTATGGGTATGAAGAGGTTGTCCCTTTTGTTGCCTGGTATCAGTGTATCAACACCAGATGCAGACTCCTGCTACTGTTTCTGGAACCTTGACTTTGTGGGTCAGCAGTGAGAATTCTAAGGCTCAGAGTGGGGAGTGGCTTGGGTGTGACCAATGGCCACAAGATGAGTAGATGGCAGAACCTGAGAGCATAGGTGTCCTGGGGACGAGGCTTGGGTTCCTGGTACTTTGCAGTCAGAGGTGGCTTTCTATCAGCTGTTCAGGCAGAATCATCCTCTGTGTTTCCTGTCTTTGCTCAGGGTTAGGATCGCTCTGCTAACGGATTCTATTTCCTTTTCCTGAATGGCCCTTAGATGTCTAACACAATGTGTGTGTGTGTGTGTGGGGGGGGTCTCAATGACTATTTTTCCTTTGCCCTGCCTGCCCGAGGGTGTTTTAGTCTTTTGGATCACAGCTGTGTCTCTGGGAGGCAGAACAGTGCTGGTACACACTAGATGATGAATAAATCTGCTAGAGCTCAAGAATGACCTAGATCTATCACGGACAAAATGGCCAATGTATAGATAGGAAGAGCAAGGCCTGGTGGCCCTGGTCCTGGCTTCCTCATTGAGTTAGCCCTTGCTCAGTGTCTCTTCTGAAGCCAGGTCCGTGCTGCCATCTGTATTCAAGGACCCAAATGACAGAGCTTGGAATCTGTTCCCTGGATCAAACAGAAAGCAATATTAGGGAGCAACCCTCCCTCTGAACCATTTGAGAGACACCAGAGCTGGGTCTGGCTGTTGAGGCCCAGGTGGGAGCACAGGGCCATGGAATCTGGCAAAAATGATGAGGCTTCTGCAGATCAAAGGTCAGAGGGGGCTTGTCTGTGTGACAATAGGAGTTAGCGCTGGGGCAGGGGTCAAAATGGCCCTCCATAGTGCAGGGTTCAGAACATACCTGTGATGCCCTGCAGGGCTGAGTGTTTCCTTCACCCACTCTGCCCTCTTCACGGTTGTTCTCTGCCCTCAGAGGAGCAGCCCCCCTCCTCTGCCCCTCATGAGGTCATGGGTCCATGTCCAAAGGCCATCCTATCCAGCATTTCCAGTGCTGTCTTTAGAATCACCCCAGCAGAGGTACAGACAAGGAGACAGTATATACAAACAACATCCCTTTCTAAAAACTTGTGGACAAACATCCAAAGCTAAACAGGGCCGCTTCAAGGGCAGCTGGGGAGTTTAGTTCCTATAGCCACATGTCCAGCTCCTCCTGTGGTTGAGGTACTTTGAACCTGCAGCTTTTAGGATTCCTCCAGACCAGGTCCCCAAGTTGACCACCACTGGCAGTTCCCCTGTGCATGGAGCCTGGTGTCAACCCAGCAGAACCTGAGTGGGTCCTGAGGGGACAGCTATCCTGGAGGTTTAGTGGGTTCTCAGGCCTCTGCCCTATCCCCACACCACAGCCTCCTTGCCACCCTAACAAAGCCACCAGGCTACTCACACTGCATCTGCCAGTGTGCTGGCTAGACACAGGTAATTGCTGAGAGCCTCTTAAGGACTTGGGGTCATTCTGGGCACTTAGGGATGCAGTGTGAGAACATCGCTGCCCTTCTGAGATTATAGGGACCCTGATTGTCACAGAGGGCATCTCCTGACCATATGACATTGTCTCCATTGTTAGAGGGGTAGGAGGAACCAGAGGATGGGGAGAGGCTCCCAAAGTCTCTTCTGGTCCAACCTGCTATGTCTTTTGATACCAGTGCTGCCCAGCACACTTCTAGGTTCTTCTACCCCAGAAAAAAGTTGAGGTCCTTCCACAAGCCATGAAGATCCCTTGTGTGGGACCTGCCTTGCCTGGCCTCCTCTGACCTTGTTCTGTCTCACATCCTCTGTTCTTTCAACGTGCCTCTCCAAGATTCCTTGAAATTGTCCCTCTTACATGGAAGCCAAGCCTTTGTACTCTCTGCTGCCTCCCCTGTCTGAAAGGTCCTCCCTACTGGCTGCCATTGTCAACTCTGTGCTTTCCTGCCTTTGGCGGCAGGGAACTTCGCTTCCCTCTGGTGGTTCTAACTTCTGTGGTGCTGCTGATTCTTTGAAGGGTTGGTAAGGGTCACCTCTCCCTCAGAGAGGTCTTGACCGTGGTGAAGCAGGAGTATTACTCGTTGAGTATTCAATTTCCCCACTCCTCAAAGCCATGAGGTACAAATGACTGGGTCCTGTTCTATGGTCCAGGTGGCAGAATGTGGGAACAGGCCAAGGACTGGGGTTCATCCAAGATCCCTCAGCTGCTTTGTCTCAAATCCCAGCTTCCTGGCCTGGGCAAGCTCCTTAACCTCTCTGAGCCTCAGGTGCCTAGATCCTGGTGTGCTCTCAGCACTACCAGCTATATCATTGATCCCTAGCCTTCCAGAATGACCCATGGCAATTCCTCCCTTTCCCACTCCTTCCTGGTCCACCTCAGCCTTAGTCCCCAGGAACTTACTACCGAACGAAATATTGCACTAAGCCTCTGGCGGAAGTAGATGGGACCAATCTTCCCAAGGGCTCATGTGGTCACCAGTGCCCATAGAGGAACTCTAGACTGGTCTGCTGACTCCTTGAGTCACTGCTTGGTGACACCAGTGTCCTAATGTGCCATCCAGGGATGGACCAGGCCCCAGGGGGCAAGGTGAACAGCGTGGACTGGGATGCAGTGTGCAGGCTCCTGGGCCCCCTGCTGTGACACATTGTAAGGAACACATTGTCCCATTTGTCTGTCAGGCACTGTCAGGGGGACCCAGTTACTCTCCCTCCTTGTCACCCTCCCTCTTCCCCCCCTTCCCTTCCCATCTCATCCTCCTTGCGCTTCTCCCCCCCCTCGTCCTCATCTCTTCCTCATTCTTCCCACCCTCCCCACACTCTTCCTCATCCATATCATCTTTCTTGTCATCCTATCCTCCTCTCCTATGCCTCTGCCTTCCCCTCTTCCTCAAGGGTCTCGCTCTGCAGCCCAGGCTGATCCCTTTCTTCCACCTCTGAATTTCTAAGATTACAGATATGTGCCAACAATACCTGGTTACCCGTTTCCTGCTTCCTGGTCTGGGTGCAAGTGGCTGGCTGGATGACTTTGGTTGTGCTTGATGGCCTGTTTTCTCTTTCTCTGATTGCCCTCCTCAGCCCTCTTCCATTCAGTGGCAACTCTTCCCCCAAAGGGTCTTAATTCTTAACCACAGCCATAAGCCATAGACAGACGGCTCTCAACCTAGCCATGCCAGATCAGCCCCACCAAGCCATTCCCCAGACCTGCACACCAGCTTTCTGTTGGATGTCTGCCCAGAGACCTCTCATTAGCCTGGCCTGAACTGAGTCCTGAAGCCCTGCCTCTCCCTGTGCTGGTTAGAAGCAGGGGGCACTTGGCTGGGCAGGCTGGCAGTTGTGGCACATGACTTTAGTCACAGTACACAGGAGGCAGAGGCAGGGGCTTCTCTGTGAGTTCTAGGCCAGCCTGGTCTACAGAGTGAGATCCAGGACAGCCAGGGATACACAGAGAAACCCTAGAGAGAGGGGTGAGAGAGGAAGAGAGGGTGATATCTGTATCTATGTGTGTGTGTGTGTGTGTGTGTGTGTGTGTGTATACATATATATATATATATATACATATATATATATATATATATATATAGAGAGAGAGAGAGAGAGTTAGAAGCATCATTCTTGCCACACCCATTTATTCACTGAGCTATGCTGCTGCCTTACCTTGGTCCTGTGTCTCTTTGGAAATGCATTAGGCTGAAGGGAAAAGAGGGACTGGTCTTGGCTTAAACAGTAAAAGTCCAGAGGAAAGCTGCACTAGCTCTGTAGCTCAGGGGGTGCCACAGACTCCCTCGGTCTGCATCATGCCTTTGTCTCATGGGTGCCCTGTGGTTGCTACAGATCCAGATGTCACCCACGCATTGACTAGAGCTAGTCACATGGTTGCTTTGGGCCTCAAGGGCACATGGGAACAGGAATAGGGCTGCTGTTTTGTATGCCAATTATGACATACTGCCTATCTAAGCTAGGCACATTCCATGCTGAACATGGCTGGCACTCGACTGGCCAGGAAAAAACAGGGACACACAGAATGCTAATAGCATCATCTTAGGTCCTATCTTTTGTGTGTCCTGTCCTATATGGCCTATCTCTCTTAAGGCCACCTATGGATCTGTCTTATTCAGGCTCTGCCCCTCCTTTTCTATCCACATTGATGGCTGCCTATGGTGACCCCCTCAAATCAGGCTTTTCCAAAGTCCACCTGGTTCCCTGCCCCCCAAGACCCTCAGACTAACTGAAGGGCCATCAGGTTCTTCCCCAGGGCTCAGAACCTTAGTGTAAGCTGTTCCTGATGCCTGGAAGGACCTCCCCAGTTTCCAGTGAATTCCAGTTGATCTACCTACATAGTCAGCAGTTCTCTTCACGGGGGTGAGGGCCTCTGTCAGTCAGCCTCATGTTACCATAACATAATACTGCAGTCAATATATGAAGTAAAAAGGTTTATGTGGGTTCATGGTTCTATAGATCCCAGTCAAAAGTGGGACACCCCTTTTGTCTTGGGCCTTGGCATTAGAGCAAATTGAAGCAGGAGTACAAGGCAAAGTGAATCACTTGCATTTGGAACCAGATGTAAGTGTAGAGGCTGGAGACAAACATGTTCTCAGTCCCCCTCAGGGCAAGCCTTGGGTACCCAAGCACCTTCCATGAGGCCCAGCAATTCCCTGGGGATACTCTGGGGACTAAGCCTTTAACTGTGACATGTAGGGGACACTCATACAAACCCCTGCAGGCTCCCCAGCACACTATTCATGCAGAGCCTAGCACAGGGCTGCCACGGAGGGGTGCAGGCTCCCAGGTGGGCAGAGTGGCTGCTGAGTGGTTGCTTGGACGAGAAGCCGGCTGGTGATGCTCAGCTCCAGTTCAGTATCCCTCATGCTCGGGACTTGACCTGATATTGCTGGCTTCCCAGCATCAGTGAGGGGCGGGACATGAACAGGGAGCAGGAGGAGGAGGAGTGCAGGGCCCCACCAGCTTTGCCCAGAACAGGCAGAAGCGGTACCTGATCCCTTCCTCCGGCCCTCCTTCAGTGACTTTGAGCAGCTTCCTGATGATGTGGCCATCTCAGCCAACATCGCTGACATCGAGGAGAAGAGGGGCTTCACCAGTCACTTTGTAAGTCAGCAGCCTCTGTTCCTTTGTCCTCTAACCTCTGACCCCCTTGCCCATCTTTTGTCCCTTGTCTCAATAAGGCAGCTTTTCTCTGGAACACCTGGTAATTCTCTGAGATGTCTTGACTGGTTTCTCTGGACAGGCTGATTGCCAACATGTGCTGGATAGAACATGGGGTGCTTCTGAATGTATCCAGGCACACAGGACACCCCATTGAAGTCCCACCCCACCCAGTACAGTGTTGGGCTTGAGAAAGCCTAGTCCCTCTCTGTGACCTCTGACCTCATCCTGTGCCCGCTAGCTTCTGCCCTGACTTCCTGTTTCTATGCCTGCCTCTGGGTCCTCCCTACTTCAGTGTCCTGTGTCAATCTCTGGGATCCCTTTATCCCGGTCCCTCTACCTTCTGGTCCCCTGACCTCCTTAGCAATTCCACCTCCAGTCCTTCTCTACCCCCCCCAACCTCTCTATTTTCTAGACCCCTCCATTTCCCAACTTTCATCTCACAACCATTCCCAAACTCCCCCTGCAACTTCCCAACCCTCTGCAGCTGCCCCCACATCCCAGCCCCCTCCTCCCACCTGGCCTCTCTCCTCCTCAGGTTTTTGTCATTGAGGTGAAGACGAAAGGAGGATCCAAGTACCTCATCTACCGACGCTACCGTCAGTTCTATGCCCTGCAGAGCAAACTGGAGGAACGGTTTGGACCAGAGAGCAAGAGCAGCCCATTTACCTGCAGCCTGCCCACACTGCCAGGTAGGCTGTACTCTGCCCTGATGTTCAGAGCTGGCCCTGGTCCCTGCCTCACCTTCCAGCTCTGTAGAATGTTATTTCAACCTCTTTTACAAACTATCCACTTGGTCAGAGGTCCTCCTGTAGCCAGAGGCTGGCAGTGTCCCCCAACAGCCCCCTCTCTGCCACCTCTGTATGTGTGTTCCCCCATACTGCCAGCCCTTTGTTTTCTGCCTCCTAATATGACCATCCACCCACTGGGAGCTCAGATTGGGATCACACAGTACCTGGATTCTAGTTTTTCCCTGTCTCCCTCAGCCACCCATGAGGATCCTTCTTTGTCCCTTGAGGAAGCAGGGTAGCACATAGTTCTGAGTATAAATAGCCTCCAACCCCATCCCTATCCTCCCAGGCCTCCTTTTCACATGCCCCACCTTGTTCTACATCTCCAGTGCCACACCCTCCTGAGCTAGCCCAAATGACTCCTTGGAGATGCAGCTGTCATGTCTTGTCATGTGCATCTTCCCCAAGCCTCAGAGGCCTATCCTTCTTACCTTCTTCCAGCCCACCTCCCATGTGTGTACACCCCCTACTCTGGAAAGAGCCATATTCTTTTTATCCATTCCCAACAAGGATGCTAGGCTGAGTGGCAAGGGCCCTCCCATCCAGTTCCTCCCTCCCCCACTTGGGAGTGGTCAGGAGGGTGCTCTGCCATTCCAAGCTAACACCTCTCTCCTTGGATTCCATCCTCATTCTCCTACTCCATTTAACTTCCATGAGCTCTGGCCTGTTTCCTGGACACACTGTCCATCTGCAGGGTAACTGCATAGGCTCCTCCCTGCCCCACCAGCTGATGAGCTATTGTGAAGTGTCCCACCCTTGCAGCATCTCCCTCTGCTCTGGTTTCAGCTCCTTCCACCCCACCAACACTGACCTCAGGACAGAGTCCTGTAGTTCTGGTCTGATGTCTGGAAGCTGAGGATCCTATTTACATTTCTTCTACTAGGCCTCCTCTATCTCCAATTCCCCTTCTGCCACCTGATTCCTGTTCACCCTTGTACACACTCTGCCCTCCTGACCACCCTAGGAACAGGACAATATATCCCTGCCATCCTTGTCCTTTCTTGTCTTCTCATACCAGACATCCACTCTGGCAAGCCAACAGGTGGCTGCGACTATCACTTTTCTGTTCATGGATTCTGTCTAGTTGCAACCTTTATAAACTTTATAAACCTCCTGGTGTTATAGGCACCCACCCTGCCTGTCCTGTGGCACAGGGCTGGCTGGATAGGATTGCTTTCTGGTGCAGCCCTCTGGGTGGCAGCTCCTCCAAGTGCCTGCCTCCTACCTCCTGCCTCCTGGTGCTCCTGGAGGATATTTGTCATATCACCTGCTTCCTCTTTCCCAGAACACTGCTCCTTGCATTTGGGGCACAGCTCTTTCATCTGCCCCACAGGTACTTGGTCCTCTGCATTTGTCAGTATGTGTGAGTGGGGCTTGGGACCCATGGTTTTCTAACTATGGCAGCCTATCAAGCCCCCACCTCCAAGATGCAATATAGTTATTCTGGGGATCCCTACCTAGTGAGATGCTTTCAAGATCTTGTGATAGGACTGTTATTTAAGCCTGAGGATGGAAACCATTGTGATCAGGGCAGGCAGAGATCCCATGCTCAGAGCTAAGGCTTGTGAGTGTGTGTGCATGAATACATGCACATTTGCTAAAGAATGTTGTGTGTGTGTGTTTACATGCATTTGTGTGTAAAAGCATGTTACATCTGTATGCATATGTTTAGTGTACACTGGATGGGTGTGCACATAGACTTTATGTGTGCATTTGCATATATGTGTATACATGTGAATGTGGGTACACTGTACATATGTATGTGCTTACATGTATGCATGCATCTGTTCCTGAATGCAGTATATCTTTGTATATGTGTGCACATATGTGAGTGTCTATATAAGTTTATATGTGTACATTTGAGTGAATGTGTGCTCTTGCGCATGCATATGTGTATGTGCATGTATGTGAGTGTGAATGCACATGTCTGTGTGGGTGAGACTGTGTGTGCATGGGCTTGTTATGTTTGTGCTTTGCATGGGTGTATAGAGTATATACAGTGTGTTGAGTGTGTATGTGTATGAATACATAAATGTGAGAGAGTGTATGTGTATACAAACCTTTATATAGGCATGACATAGAGAATTCCCTCTATCTTCTAGAGATGGTATGATTAGAAGATGCAGTTGGAAATTGTCTTGGTGACACCCTGATTCCATGACAGAAGGCAGGAAGAGCTTTGAGCTGGGGAGAGGGGCACTGGGCAGTTATCTGCCGGTGGGGCAGTTGAAGGGCAGGCACCATGTGGTTCAGGCTCTGGGCAGCTTTTTTTTCTCCACAGCCAAAGTCTACGTGGGTGTGAAGCAGGAAATTGCTGAAACCCGGATCCCCGCCCTCAATGCCTACATGAAGGTACCTGCTGCCATGACCCCTTGGTGCTTGAGTGGTCAGAGAACACTGAGGGCTGGGTATTCCTTGGGGCATGAATTTGAGAACTGGGCTTTCTTTGAGGCCCCCATGGCCCCATCTTCAATCCTAAGAAGTCTGGCTGGAAAGGGAAGCAGGGTATGTTCTCAGGGATCCAGGAGCTAGCTGGATCACAAGGAGTCATGCTTGAGTGTGCCTGCTCCCCCAGGGCACCTGCTGCCCAGTGTGGATAGTGGCAGATAAACCACAAAACCACACAGAGGTGTCTCATGCCTGCACAATGGGGGCATAACAGCAGATCACATCCCCTCCCACAGGCTAGAGAAGGGCCTTTTGAGCTCATACCTCTTCTCACCCAGGCACAGTTGGACGTGGGCTACATTCACTGTCCTTGGCTCGCTGTTCTATGTGTTCCCACTATGCACACTGTCAGCTTTCTATGTCACGGGGACACAGAGGAAACAGTGTTAGAGGCAGAGGCCAGGGTAGACAGGAAAGGACACCCTCCCATTGCAACCATGCAGGGAAGGGCCAGTATGCCTTGTAAGGTAATGAGCACCCTGTCACTAGAAGCATCCAAGCCATGGCTTGGTGGAAAGCCTTCCTTGGTGTCCAGAGGTGCCTTTCACAGCTGGAGAGCTCTGGGTTTGGAGACTTGTTGGGATGGGTGCCTTGGAGTGAGCAAGACATCCTCCCTCAAGAAGCCACGGCATTCTCCTCTGTGTGGCTTTGGGCAGATCATTTCCCTCTCTGATCCTAGCTTCCAGGTTATAGGGTAAGTTCCTGGCATAACCAGTTGCTGTCTCTGGGAACATTTAGATGATTCCAAATGAACTATTAAACCAGCACCGCTCCCCTTCTCAAGCTTGGGAATTGTCTCCTTCCACTTCTGAGGGCTAATAACCCATATTACCCTCTGAGAAAGCTTTAGCAGAGATGAGTAGAGGGTGCTGGTGTGGCGACAGGACTGTCTAGATCTTTGTGCCGACTGCCCACCCTGTCCTGCCTCTCTCCACACAGAACCTCCTGAGCCTGCCCGTCTGTGTGCTGATGGACCCCGATGTCAGGATCTTCTTTTATCAGTCTGCATATGATGCAGAGCAGGTGCCGCAGGCGCTTCGCCGGCTGCGACCGCGCACGCGCAAAATGTAGGTGACCATCACTGCTCTCCCTCAGAGCCAGCAATTGAGTTCCATCTCTATCCCCCAGGGGTCGCTGCTGCTCATTCCAAAGGGTTCTGGGCTCCCTTCCAACCCTGACCCTCAGAAAAATTAACCAGGCAAGCCTAGAGGCACCATAATGGTGGAATGGTGCAGGTTTCTGAGCAGTCACTTCTTGAAAAGGCCAAGGAAAAATAGGCAAGGCTCCTGAACCCGAACCTCCCCCCCCCAAATTCCCTTTCTTCCCAGCCACTTCTCTGTGTACCTAGGAAGGCATAGTCTGAATTCCAGCCACGCAGGCACCTTCCACAGCCTCTGTTTCCTGGGCTGAAATGGAATAATAACACAGTGAAAGAGCCAAACTGAAGACAAGTGGAGAGTTAAAGGCTCTGAGCCATGACTTCCTCTCCAACCTTTCTGTCCCCAGGTCTTCTGTGGGAAAACAACCTTCCTTGGGGCAGTGGTGGGAATACAGTATGAGGGGCTGGCTGCAGAAGCATCTGGGTTGTTGGCAGTGTATAATCTTTCTTTCCTGGCCTCTCCGACCCAGAAACTGAACCCTAGGGGATCCACAAGGCTGACAGCCTTTTTTCTTTCCCTAGCAAGGGTGTGTCTCCACAAGGTGCCATCATGGACCGCATGGAAGCTCCAAGAGCAGAGGTATCCACAGACTAGACCTCATCCATGGCAGCTATGGAGTCCACCTGCTGTGCGCTATGGTGCATTTACATGGTGCTCGGTACCAGACAGGAGTAGGGTCCACAGCCTCAGCCTTGAATGCTGAGCACCCCTGCCTAGCTAAGGGCAGGGAAGTGCCCAGCACACAGAAGCTTGCTGGGATTCTCAGGCCAGCCTTGCCTTGTGGGCCGACAAGACCCTGTCCTCTAGATATGCACAGCTCCAGAAACACACAAATGACATTTCAAAACCAGTGTGGGTAGTGCCCTGGTAGAGAGCCGCAGGGTACAGGAGGGCTGTAGTCTACAGCGAGGCCGACCCGGCTCAGAGTTTGTATGTGCACCCTACCAGCTCTAAAAGGACCATCTGCTCTGCAGCTGGGGAGACCAGGGCTCCAACCTGAGGTCCTCCACAAACAGGGGCTTTATTAGCACCCTCAGGTTCCACACCTGTAAAAAGGGCTGGCAAAGTAGTTGTAGGCCTTGGAGGGCTCAACAAACATTTTCTCCCTCTCAGCATGGTGTCCTTCTCCTCAGGCCCTGTTTGACTTCACTGGGAACAGCAAACTGGAGCTTAGTTTCAAAGCTGGAGATGTGATCTTCCTTCTCAGCAGGATCAACAAGGACTGGCTGGAGGTGAGATGGAGGTGATATCAGAGAGTGGACAGAAGAGGCAGTGGGAGCAAGGATGAGAGTGAAGTTAGGAGTGAGGGTGGGGGCGTGGGTGGGGGCGTGGGTGGGGCATGGGCGGGGCGAGGGTGGGGCATGGGCGGGGCGAGGGTGGGGGCGTGGGTGGGGCGAGGGTGGGGGCGGGGTGGGGCGTGGGCGGGGCGAGGGTGGGGGCAGGGGGCGGGGACGAGGGTGGGGGCGTGGGCGTGGGTGGGGGCGGGGTGGGGCGTGGGTGGGGCGAGGGTGGGGGTGGGGTGGGGCGTGGGCGGGGCGAGGACGAGGGTGGGGGTGGGGGCGTGGGTGGGGGCATGGGCGGGGCGTGGGCGGGGGTGCGGGCCGGTGGGGGCGGGGTGGGGGCAGGGGTGGAGTGAGGATGGGGGTGAGGGATGAGGCAAAGGGAGAGGGGAGGGTGGAAGAAGGGTGGGGTGAGGCAGTTTGAGTTTGTTGCACAAGCAGACAGCATGGAAAATATCTTGGGAAGCCTGAGGGTAGCAGTCCTCTGTGACAGTCATTGAGGTCCCAGCAGGTCTGTGTGACCTGTGAGTCATAGACACGGTAGAGCCATGAGCACTGACAAAGCAGAGTGTTCACCCCACAGTGCATGCTGAAGTCAGAGGACAGCTTTCAGGAGTTGCCCCTCTCCACCCCACTCCACTAGGCTGGTCCCAGAGGTGGAATTCAGGTTGTCATGCTTAGCAGTAAGCCTCTTCACCCCAGAGCCATTTCATAGCCTCTCTGTTTTAGTTTCTTGATCATTAACAGGGCTTCTAGGAAGATATTCTTAGCTTTGAGGAACTGATAATTCCTGGGGAGGGTGGACTATTCTGTATAGTTCAGGGTGCTTGCAGCATCCTGTTCTCCCCGCTAGATGCTGGCAGGGTACCCACCCAGTCACAACAATCACAAAGGTCTCCCCATGATTGCTTTGGGGTTCAGACTTCCCCCATTAAGAGAGGTGGGGCTCATATGTGATAATGTTATATCCCTGGCCAGCAGCAAGAATGGCTGTAATTTAGAGCAGGTGTCCATGCCTGAGGACATTTAGTGGAGGAGCACTTGCCTAGTGTGCAAGGTCCCGGGTCCCACTGTACTACAAAACAACAACAGGACAGAATATTCGACTAGCGTATCTGGACTGTTTGCTGTTTTTAGCTGGCCTCTTGGACCTCAGGAGGTTGCTCAACACCATGGTTTCCTTTCCTGTAAATGACAAAAACATTGTTTCTTCATCAGTTCCTGGCAGGGATAAGGGAGAGGCGGATGTTGTCCAGGCCTTGTCGCCAGAGAGTCTGAGTGCCTTGTTCTCGGTGCATGTGAGGGTACTGGAGATGAGACCCTGAAGCTGGGACCCCTGGGTGTTACTTTGCTCCACACTGACAAGGAGTGGCTATGTGCCAGGTCCCTGACCTGGGCCTGGCCTTCTCGATCAGATAATATTGTCACCATTGGACACTGTCTGCTCCTCTGTGTCTAAAGAAGGCTCTGGGTTAGGCTGAGGCAGGGTCCCTGGTGTCCCAGGACTGGAGAGGAGTGAGGGTGGCAGGTGTAGGGACTTGGCTGTTTAAGCGTCTGCCTCTTGGTGCAATGGGTCTTAGAAGCTAGGCAGCAGCCTTGTCTACCTGAGAGGCTGCAGTGATGACTCTGTCCAGTTTTCTGGAAACTCTTACTGGCTGGCTTGCGGCCACCATCAGATCTTAGGCTATAGGAACTGGAACCTCAGTTTATGGGTCTGTGTGAAGGCAGCTAAGATGACCTGAACTCATTCTTTAGGACCCAGATACAGTGCTATGCTTATCTAGTTCTGGGGAAGCAGAGACAGGTGTGCTTGCTGGGGCTTGCTGGCTGGACAGACCAGCCACAAAATGGCGATGTTCTAGTTTGCTTTCTATTGCTGTGATAAACACCATGACCAAAGACAACTTGGGGAAGACATGTCAGGTCATACTTCATCTCTTAGGGAAATCAGGAGAGGAACCTGGATACAGGAGCAGATGCAGAGGCCCTGGAGCGATGCTGCTTACTGGATTGATTCCCATGGCTTGTTCAGCCTGCTTTCTTATACAACACAGTACCAACAGCCCAGGATGGCCCCACACACAGTGTGCTGGACCCACCCACATCAATCATTAACCAAGAAAATGCTCCATAAACTTGCCCACAGGCCAATTTGATGAGGCATTTTCCCAGCTGAGGTTCCATGTTCCCAGATGATCCTATCTGTGTAAAGTTGATAGAAACTAACCAGTATAGATGAGTTGTAGGCTTCTAAGAGACCCTGTTTCAAAAAGGAAAAATGTAGATAGAGCCTGAAGAATGACATCTGAAGTTGTCTTCTAGCCTATGTATGTACTCATGTACATGTACACACACATAAATATGCACACAATACATGTACACATATATTTACAAGCATATGCATGTATGCACACATGCACACACTCGTATAAATACACATACACATGCATATGCACTATGCATACATGCACACACTCATAAATACATATACATGCACATGCACACACATATAAATACATATACACATAACATGTATATGTACACATGCACGCATTCATAAATATACATACATATGCATACACATAAATATACACCATGCATATGCACATGCATACACTCATAAGTACACATACATATACATGCATATGTGCTCAAAAATCTTTGCTGAAGCAAAAAATGAGGAGGGGGAGGAGGGAGATGAAGGAGCAGGAAGAGGAAGGGGTGGGGAAGACAGAAAGGCATACAGCTTTCCAGGTGAATTTAGAGCTTTTCTGTAACTGAAGCACTGGTCTTCTGGGTTGGGCAGCTTGAGGAACCTCCTCACCTCTTCTCCCCATGTTAGTTAGCTTTAGTCACTATAACAAAACACCCAAGGCAGCTTGCTTATGAAGAGAAAAGGTTGTCTATGGCTCACTATTTGGGATCTCCAGTTCCTTACCAAGTGACTCTGTGCTGGGGCCATTAATCATGACAGAAACCTGTGAGAGTGCAAAACTATTGCATTGTGATCAGGAAGAAAAATAAGTAAGTAAATAAAAAGTTAAATAAAAAACAGAAGAAAGAACTAGGTCCCCACTGCCCCATTAAGGGAACCCTCTCCCTAGTGACAGAAGGCACTTCCACTAGGACTTGTTTTTCCAAGCTCTATGCCTGTGACACATGGACTTTGGGGAACAATCTAGGGGACCTTGCTATTATAAAATAGAGTGTGGGTCTCTGAGATGCTTCCCCAGGCCTCTCTTCCAGATGAGGAAGCTTCTTTTCCCCTGCAGGGCACATCCCAGGGAGTCACTGGCATCTTCCCAGGCTCCTTCGTGAAGATCCTCAAGGACTTCCCGGGGGAAGAAGACACCACCAACTGGCTGCGCTGCTACTACTATGAAGACACAATCAAAACCATCAAGTTGGTGGCCTGCTGGGAGAACAGGGCAACTCACCTTCCTTGCCAATCTATACTCTGGTGTTGTGTCCCCCATCCCCTCCTTGTCCTGCTGTTGTGGCTCCCATTGCCTTCCAGATACACCACAGGGCTGTAAGCTATTGCTGAATTTGATCCTGGTCCCCAAGCATGTCCCTGATGCTTCCTCTTTTCTACTGTCCTCCTTAGGGACATTGCAGTGGAGGAAGACCTCAACAGCACCCCTCTGTTCAAAGACCTGCTAGCACTCATGAGGTGAGGGGGTTGAGTGGCAGAGAAGGAAGGGAGCCTGGAGAGGACATTGGGGTGGAGGGGGAGGCTACCAACTGTGACAGCTTCAGTCCCTACAGCCCCTGCCTCCAGCCCCTGCAGCCCATGCCTGCATTCCTACAACACCTGCAGCCCACGATGCCTTTAGAAAAGAGCTAAGCAGGCTGCACAAGGTCAAGGCTCAGCTGAAGTCAAAGTGTGACTATGGATCTGCTGTTAGAACATATCTCTGGGTACAACCCCCAGCTGGGGAAATCACCACCACTATCCTGTGGTCCAGGCCATTGCTGAACTGTTATTTCATAGAACCATAAAGTGCTGTCCCATACCTCTTGTTATCTGCTGTGTGCTCAGATCCCTTCAGTGCATGTACCCACATGTATAAACACACACACACACACACACACACACAAAACAATACACACCCACAACATATATAAAAAGCACAAACACAGTATGCCCAGACATGCACAAACATACAATATACAGAACACAAAACAGTCAGTCATAAACACAAGGAAACACAAATATACATAGGCATGGAAGATACACACGTACAAACACACAAAACAAGCATACACAGGAAACATGAACAAATGAACACGTGCACACTCACAATGTCCCGCTGGCCATGCCTACTTCTCTCTTTGTTGCCACTGTCAACGACATTATCCTTTACTCACATACTGTCTCATTCTTTTCTGGGGATAATTTTCAAGAAGTATAATCATGGGATAGTAGTTCTGCAAGATGATTAGATGAGTCCTGTTGGGTCAAATGGTACATGGGAAGTCAGTTCAGATCTTGTTCCCACCAGTCCCGTGGAAGCATAGCCATCCTCCTGCAGCTGTCTGCTGGTTCCCACAGACTTTCCTGGACTGCCTCACCTTCTTCTCTTAGGAAACTCAAGCCTTCCACCCACTCATGTGCAGGATACTTCAGGCTGCACCACTAATGGATTACAAATCTCCCTCTTCCTTTCATGCCTCAGTTCCCCCATCCAAAGAATTGGAGTACAGTTGCTTGGATGATGAGGGCCAGTACCACACTCTGTGGACCCAAGACCCTGGGTTCTCCCTGGTAGCCTCAGATTAACCCTGATGTGTTCCCACAGGCGTGAGTTCCAGAGAGAGGACATTGCCCTCAATTACCAGGATGCTGAGGGGGACCTTGTTCGTCTACTGTCAGATGAGGATGTGGAACTCATGGTGAGGCAGGCCCAAGGTCTCCCCTCCCAGAACCGCCTCTTCACATGGAAGCTACATGTCACCCAGAAGGACAACTATAATGTCTACAACACAGTTCCCTGAGTTATTGGGGTCCCTGTGGCAAGGAGGGGGTACACAGCAAAAGACCTACACCCTCTAATAACATGAGCATCTCAGGGAGGCTGGGATGAGGTGCAAACCTCCTAGGCCAGTGGCTGGTGTGCCCGCTGGACCAGGATTCTACTAGAATTTGGCACCTCTGAGTTAAATAAACCATTTTGTCTCAAAGGATCAGACTTGGGAAATAGAGTTTTGTGGAGAGGATCAGGGAGTAAAATACCATTGACTAGGGCCCGTTGCCCTTCTGGGTGATGTTACAGGGAGCACGGTAAACCCTGATCTTCCCCCCACCCACCCAGCACAGAGAACAGACTGCCTGAATCCCCTGCCCTTCCCAGCCCTGGGAAGGCATGTGAAGGCATAATGGCAGGCAGTTGCGAGGATTAGCCTGAGTCCCAGGGCTACCATGACAAAGTAGCACATGAGCTCCCTCTTGTATGTCTTCTCTCTGTGTGGATCTGTCCCTGTGTCCAGTTACCCCTTTTTATCTGGATACCTATCAGACTGAATTATTAGGGACTGTAGTCATGGCCCCATTTTAACTTGATCACCTCTATAAAGACCCCATTTCCCAAAACTGTCATGTTCTGCACTTTAAGTGGGGATTTCTAAATGACTTTTTCAACTTGAACATATCAATTCAACCTATAACCCTCATGTCATCCATGCTGTTCCCACTAAAAGGGCAGGGGGTCTGCTGCAGGTGCAGAAGGCCAAGGCTGCAGTAATACAGCTTCATTGATGAGCAAGGTTTCCATGACAGTAGGGAAAACCTGAGAAGATAAAGAGACAGTGTGCCTCTGGGCTCACCTGTAGAAGAGACTTGAAAGGGACTCCAGAACAGGCAGACTGACTTCACTGACATCACCCGGCTCTGGCTCATAGATTCTGGCTGTGGAGAAAGCCAGGATTTAAGGATGACTGATTTTTCTTGAAAAGAAAGCTGAGGAAGTCACCAAAAGTGAGGGAAGAGCACTTGTCAAATATAGTGTGTTCAAATCTCCATAGAACTCCTCTGTAATCTTGGCAAGCCTAACTAAAGAAAGATGGGAGGTGGAGGGAAGAGATACCTGGAAACTCATGGGCCAGCTAGCCTGGCATGATAATAAAAGGTAATAGATAATAAAAGAACCTGTCTCAAACAATGTGGAAGGAGAAGACACCCAAGATTGTCCTGTGACCTCCATACATAGATCCTGGCATGCACACACATAAAGGATTTTAAATAATAGAAGCTGCAGTGAGCAGCAATGCAGAATAGATAGTCAGCTCCAAGAAATGTAAGGCCAGAAGCACAGTGGTGATTCCAGCAATGGACTCCTAACCAAATACAGGCAGTCTCTCACTCCCATGCCTGGCCCACACTGAAGGGTGAAGGTCTAGCTGTCCCAAGGCCTAAACACAACTGTTCACCAATAAACAGTTCATGCAAACAGAAGCCTAGGAAAGAGATTAAAAAGACCAAGGAGGAAAAGTCTTGGCAGGCACATTGAAATGCACATAGTAGGTACAATGGACTTGGAAGAATTAGTTCACCCCAAATACTAAATATGAAATCATGACCAAACAAACAATAACAACATTAAGCTTCAAGAAGAAAGAGAGAAGGTCAGTATATACAGTTGCTATAGTTTATTATGTAAAATGTTTAGTTCTTGGCAAAAAAAAAAAAAAAAAGTCATAGTCAGTTCCCAGAGGAGTATGAGGGTAAGTCATAGAACTGCCTTTGAGGGTGGGCCAGATGTTGAACTTAGGAAGCAAGGACCTCAAAACTTTGGTGTAAGTAGGCTCAATTCATACTCAGCAAATTAAAAGGCAGTATAGAAGCAATGAGCACTCCGACAGAGATTTGCACACCTGAATAAGCTTGAGAACAAGAATTACATTGTGCTGCTAGAGTTAAAAAGTAAAGTAGCTGGCTCTCGCTCCTCGAGTCACTGTCCTGCAGTAACTCTTGTGACATGCCTTTTTCTTTTACTACCTCCATGGAGTGAGACACTAAAGTGGTGACAGGGTCTTCTTCTCTACGTCCATCTGGGACTGTGGTGGGGATGTCACCCGTTGACTTGTGGCTGCCAGAGAGGTGTGACGTGTTCCACTGCGCCCATTGCCACGTGTTGCATCTCGCCTGGGACCTATCAAAGTCTCTTGGGACCGTGGCCTTCTCCAGAGTCACAAACAATATTGTTTTGTTAGAGCCCTGTCTTGTTGGCATTGAAGATCCTCTCAAATGCAGCAATACAACCTTCTCTTCTATAATTCCTGTGGGGTTTCTATTGGTTTCCATCTGTATTCCACCCATGCTGTGCTGGCTGGCTTGAGATGTCACTTCTGCCTTTCCTGTGATAAAATGGCATGCTGTCTCTTAAAAACAAAGGCCATAGTAAGTGCATCTGAGATGGATATTCATGATGTGCCTCTAACAGAAAAGATTTGGAGCTGAAAGAGAAGATAATGCTAATGCAGGCTCCTTTAAATACACTGATAAAGATTCTGAAGGAAGTACTCTTGATCATTTTAACCAAGAAAACTGAATAAACAAGCACTATGAATGAGAGGACTGCCACATGTGGTGACATGTGACTATAATCCCTGCACTTGAGATACAAGCACAAAGATCAGAAATTCAAGATCACCCTTGGCTACATTTTGAATTGAGGTCAACCTAAGCTTCCTGGGAACTTGTCCCAAAATCCCTACTGAACTCAAATAATTGTTTTTAGAGTATGCCTTTGAGCCTTTGCCTTGTCCCAGCTTACCAACACACTTACTTTGGGGAGTATTTTTTCTTTCTTAATAAATTGTGACTCTATTGCTTTTTTTTTTTTAAAAGTAAAATAGCTGAAGTGAGAAATCCATGGTGTCAGTGATAGATTTGAATGGACTAAGAGTAAGCATGCCGAGAGACAGAGCCAGAGACAGGGCTGTTGTGGTCACACCTTCACAGCAGCTGTGGCAGCCTGCACAAGATCAAGCCAGTCAAGATCCCAGCATAGATGAGGATGTCTTGGCAGACCTATCCCTTATAGGGGAACTTATAGCAGTGGGTGGTTGCTGTGAGGGGAAAGTCATTCTCTTTTGAGGATGTGGCTACTGGTAGGTTTCCCTTATTCTAGTGGAAGACCACCACACCCATGCCCAAATGGGCAGCACTAACTGAACTTGGTGAGTTACCAAACTTCTTTCTGAGAAACAAATCTTACTTGGTACAGTCTTTGTCTCTAAACAAAACAGTTGTGTTTAGTGGCCACAGTGGCCTCTGTTATATCCTGCTTTGATGGTTCTCTATGCCTATCTAAAGTAAAATGTCCAAATTGGATGTGAGTGTTGGCTGATGATGAAGATACAGATAAGGGCACCAATAAACTTACCAAGCTATCTGGTGACAATAGTGTCAGTCATCGGTAGGAGAAAACCGCTCTGCAGAATAAGCAGTTGAGGACCCCAACCAATCACCCCTTGTTTTTGATGACTACACCTGATGTCCAAGTACTACTGTCACAACCACCAGACATTCAGGAGCAACTGTGAAAAGCTACCGTCTACCATCTTTGAACAGAGTATCCAACTTGCCATCTGTTATTATTGGATTGAAACTCTGTGTGTGTGTGTGTGTGTGTGTGTGTGTGTGTGTGCACGTGTGCGCGCGTGCATGCGCATGTACACGCGCACACATGCACACACGTAAAAGTTGGACAACCTTGAGTGTCATTCTTCAGGCACCTTACCCTTTTGGCTTGAGGTAGGATCTCTCATTGGCCATGAACTTCATCAAGGCTAGCTGCCAGCCAGCTTCCAGGGGTCCATCTGTCTTCCTTCCCTTCTTGCCATGGCTGAGACTACAAGCATGATCCACCATACTTGGCTTCTGTGGGAGTTTGGGGCATTACACTCAGGTGGTTACAATTCAACAGCAAGTTTTTACTGACCCATCTCTCCAGCTCTGGGTATAATCTCAGTAAGGGTATGACTCAGTAAGGGTATAATCTCATTGTGAACTGGGAAGAACAAAGAGTGTGACTATGTCTGGGAACTGCCTGCCTGCCAGCCCCCTTCCTAGATGTCCTGTAACAAGTATGGTTCGGTTTTTATTTCTCCCTAGGATGTGTGTGCTGTGAGGCCTCTGTACAGGGAATTTTGGAGGAAGCATAAACACTTTTTTTTTTTCAAACTATAAACATGCTACAGTCATAAAGCCTAAGATTCCACAATTCCCTCAGGGTCATTCACACAATGGCAGGGATTCCTGGGATCAGGGGTGGTGGTGCTGATGAATCAAAATTGACTACTTGACCCATATTCTATGAGTAAAGATGCTTGTAGACAAATGTGCCCACTGGGGTATCGAGAATATCTTGGGGCTAATGAAAGGAAACTTCAAACTTCATCCCTGCAGAATGATAAGCCCTTGCAGAATGATACAGTGATAAGCCCAAGAATGTGTGTATGAGAGAGAGAGCAGAGTTAATGTGGTCAGCCAGGTTGACTGTGACTCATCTATTGGTTTCTCAATTCATGATTGGGAAATGGCTGGTGGGGACAGATAAAAGTGGAAGGAGAGATGATAGACACACAGAAATTACAATGCCATGATATGTGTATTTGTTAGTTACTGGCCTTGAACAATTTGTAATGAGTGATGACCAGTGGATCAATGGAAATGCTCTCATTGAAAATGGGCCTCTAATGGTTGTGGTGGCACATACTGGTAGGATTTACTAAGGAGGTGGAGGCAGAAGGATCACAAGTTTGAGGCCAGTCTGGGCTACAAGGCAAGTTTCAGGACAGCCAAGGCTACACAAAGAAACCCTCCAAAAGAGAAATGGACCTCTTTTAATTTGTTATCCTATGGTGTTTAGTAAAGGGCATTGTTGCCCCATTATAAGGTAACACCATTTAAACTCTTTATATATGTATATGTATACATTTTAGGAAGCTTCTATAGTAGTAGGTTTCCATTCTTTTTTCAAAGTGCCTTTAGCATTATTTATTCCTCTCCACATTCCCTCCTCTACCCTGCCCTCCCATAATCCTCACCATTAAACCCTCCCTGTACTACTCTTCCCTTTAACCTTTTATACTACTCCATTCTATCTTATTCTTGAAATCCCCCATTGTTAATTTCCTGGCCTCTGTGGGTATTCCAAATGGAACACATATATCTGAAGATT